ACTCAAATCTTAAATTGCAGCAGGAAAACTTTTCATCAATAAAATACTGAAAACACACACTTATTGTTCAAAGCAACGCCCTAACACATGGGCAAATTAAACTCAATCTTTAAAATCTCAATTTAATCTTCAGTCTATCCTCATAATGATAAAGTGTAATAACTCAACAATGCCTAACATTACCGCTTACTGAAAACCTTGACTAGGCATCCTTCGTTACTCTCATACCGTCCTCCTCTAGCTAGATTGCCTCGAACCATCTCTCGATCTCGCTGCTCTCTAACTGCTCCTCTAACTAGTTGCTATTGATCTGGTTCTCGCTCATTCCTTTAATAAGGCATGGTGAGTGAGATGGGGTCAATCTACGCCCTTACGTTTAAAATCTCTAGTACTTCAGACACTTAACTTAAACTTGTGGATGTTGTTTGTATTTCCACTCTAAAAAATCTTAACTCTTAAAACTGTGTGGGAGCTAAATTTACTCTCCCTTCTTAAAGCTCAAATCTTGACTTAAACTTGTGACTGAACGGGGATCCCTCACAAGCTAGTCCTGTTGCCCAACTCATTCGTATGAGAAGCCATACAGGCTTTCCTTAAACTTAGTTATGGAAGTCGTAAGGATTCATCCCCCTAACATCTTAAACTTATCATGGTGGCTCTTGACCATGATTCTCAAGAGCATAATTGCTGCTCATCTTAAAAGTCTCAAGAGCATAACTGCTGCTCTATCTCAAAATCTCAAACGGCAACGAACTGGCGCTAGTGACTAAAAACACTTAAAATGACTTCACCTCCTTGAAGGTGAGTTACTTCTTAAAAAGAACTTGTTTCTTAAACTTTAATAATAACTCCTAAATGTAAAGCTTTAAAGTAAGTAACAACTCATACATATTCACTCCAACATAGCTCAAACAAAGCACATATCATCAATCATAAGCACAATCAAACAACGACAATCACTTCATCAAAATCCTTAAAAGCTCGTAATACTTGAAAGAACACGTAAGGCGTAGAATTTACCCCCTTTACACTAACCTCAAATCTGCCGAAACCGCCGTTGATTCTGCTCTAAAATTTCAATATTCACTCCCAAAATATCTGTCTCGCTTGCAAGATTCCATAGGCGTCGACGGTTCCACATTTGAACGTCAAACAATCGAGTTATGGCCAAAACAACAATTCTGTTAGATTCCGAAGTATTAGGTACCAAAGATGAAAATATCCAGTCAACCTAGTTGAACACGACTCTCATGGAATATTTCATATTCAGTACTTTGAGGTTTCGAATTACCAAAAATGGTACCTGAACTTGATAGATTTTCGTCCAAACTTTCGAGGCTCGTATCTCCCTGATTTGACGTCCGAATTCGATTTCGTCGATACTGGATACTCCAAAAGCTTATTAGTGCTTTGTGCATGCTTGCATATGGATACTCTACAGACGGTTTGCATGAGAGATTTTGAATGGATGATAGAAACAAACTAGAGTGTCTGAGATATGCTCGAGCGTCACCTATATTTATGGTGCTTAGTACTTGCGTGCAACAATAGTGGAAGATCTTTCGCCGCCTCATTGACAATAGTGCATAACGTGGCTTTCCAAGTATGATTGGTTCAACTGATTGTATGCACTGGGAATGGAATAATTGTCTGATGTTGTGAGCAGACCAATACACTGGCCACTAATGGAATTCACCTTAAACGGTCTATATTTGTGAATATAATAACACCATATTCACACCTGTATTTCCCGACATTTCTTGATCGTTGTGCTTGGCATTTGATTGCTTTGTGGCCCATTTTACGCTAGGAAGTGCTTATTTGTGATATTTTAGGTCTTAAGTACGTGAATGAAGGGTTAGAGCAAGATTTCATGTAATTGGAGAGCAGACGAGATGAAACAACCCGATCTTTTTCGAAAACCAAACCATGACTTAAACCAAACCGGTTACTCCAGAGCAACCCAAACCACTTTTTAAAAATAAACAAATTGACTTTATTAAAGAATTTTAAATGAAAAGAACCAACACTTGGGCAAAACACTATCCAAAATGCTTAAAACAACTTAACTCAGAATCATGCCCGGTCAGTCCATGCCCGGTCAACTACAGCATTACATCTCGCCGTCCAGTAGTGACCCCAACATACTCGATCAACTGCTGCGTTACGTCTCATCGTCCAGCAGTGATCCAACCATCTACCGCGTTCAGTAGTGGCCCAACCGCCCGGGGGTTCAATTACCATCAATCATACATTACATACATAGCACACCGCGTGCCTCCACCTTAAGTAGGCGGTGGGATGCCTCACACACATAATCGCGCTTACTTGAAAATAACAAACATAACTGAATTAAAAGACATAAACTAAAAGACCTCGACAGAGATTTTACCCCCTTGCATTCACCTTATTTCCGTTGAAACTGAACCTGATTCCGCTCAATAAGTTCCATAACTCGCTCCCATAATATTTTACTTGGTCCGTGTATCCGAAGTGCAATAACTTCCCATTTTGTCCTGTAGCCATCCACGATAGCTGTGTCTAGTACCAATAATCAAAAGTCTTTTACATTACACACATATATATATACATATAGGTCTGCTTATTACCCACTATTAGCCTGACCTCTGTTGCCCTCCCTTCCATCGAACTCTCCTCTACGTAATATCTCATTCCCATACATATATACCCGTATAGATTTATAAATGTTGAAAGCCCTCTTTCGTTCATTAACCTTGTCTAACTTTAGTCTTGGCAAGAAACACAAACCAAGCATACTTTTTAATTCCTTGCACTTTTGGTTACGTGAGTGCATGCTCCCTCAACAATCCAAGATAATCAACTTAACTCCCCAAAATGGACTCACATCACATATATATATGTATGCAACTCAGCTCCAAAATGCCCAATCATAATCCATATGTATATATACCATGCGTCACAACTCATCTCATCACGTTACTTATCCAACTAACCCATACGAAACTCCTAGAATCCACTAATGACTTCTAATTCTCTGGGCACCATAACATTGGAATCGTCATTAAATCTGAGAGTGAAGCCAAGAGTACCTTTACACCGGTTGGTTTTGAGAAATGAACCTCATTCTTGGAACCATTGCCACCATCACAATGCGCTACCATTTTTATTCTCTAGCAGCCACCGTCGCAACGCTGCTGTAGCTCCCAGCTTGTTCAACATCATCGACCCACTGCTTGTTCTTGTGGTTGGGGCGGAGTATATGGTGAGAAGGAGAACAATCGCCGGTGGTTGTCGGGCATGAAGGGGAAAGAGCTAGGTACCGTCGTTGGCCAAATGCTTCGAGTGCTTTCTTTCATTGTTTGTGTCTGTTTGTTATGGTGGCGTGGTGATTGCGCGAGGAAAAGGATCAAATGGCAGCTTTATTTTCGTGTCTTGCCCCGTTGCTATTCCTATGAGGAGGAGGATGAACCGAGTTCCTCCTTAAATCCTAACGTAAGGGCAAATACGTTTTCCCCACCTCATAATCACACACCTAATTACGCTAAGTTAACTCCACTTAAATCCTTGGTCCGTTGTTTACTAACTAAGCCTCGTCAAAATCCAGTCATCATCCATGACAGGAGGAAGAAATACGAATCATTCTTTACTTTAATGGGCTAAGCCATCTTCTTTTCCTTTATTCCACGACGTGGGCCACTCTAGAAATCTACCAAGTCATAAAAACATAATTTGGGCCTAAATAATTAATTAGGCCTTAGTTTAACCCGATATGATTTGGAGTTTCTCATACGTAACCGTCCACTCAACTGTTCATTTGCTATGGTCAAACTTGAACCATAAAAGTTGGGGTGTTACATGGGATTCGGGGATGCAAAGTCGAAATCCACTGTCTGGGTGGTCAATTCCACAACCGTGGATTCAGGGTTTCGATCGTGCTTTGTGAGCAGGAGAAACCTCGGTATGGTGCATGGCATTCCACGACCGTGGAATAAAGAAGGCAGTTCGTGGAATTCCTCAGAGGTCAATTAACCGTCGCGCTCCATTTTTGAAGTTCCACGGTCTGGAACTCAATTCCACGTGCGTGGAATCCGCCATCTCGCCTACTATGTTGAAGCTCAGGATTTTGGCTAGTTATTCGGTTTTCTAAGTTCTGAAACAATAAGAGAGATCCCTCGAGAGAGAAATTTACGATGAACAACCTTGGAAGAGATTGGAGCCAACTAAGGTCATTGGAGCCCGACCTTTCATCCTTGAAGTGCCGATTTCTAGCTTAGAGAAGAACTTCATCCTTCACATGATGTTTTCCACTTCAAGCTTTGTGTTTTCTCTACTCTCCATGGAGTAAACTCTCTTCTCATCTAGGTATGAAGAACCCTAGTCGTGTATGTTATGAATGATTGTATGAACCCGTTTTCGTGGATGATTGACTTACATATATTCAATTGACGCATTCACTATAAAAAAGACAGTCATTACCGATGACATGTTTTTCGTCGAAATTAATCAAATTGCGTCGGGAATTACCTATTTTGACGACATACAGTCGTCGGACGTCGTCAGAAAATGTCCCGTCGCTAATAAAATATTACTAACCAGTCGTCAAAACAAAAGTAGTATCGACGACATAGAATCGTTAATAATAAAAAAATGACATCACAATAGAAATACATCATGACGGCTGAATTTGACGAATATTTTTATTGACAACAAATTTACTCATATTTTACGAATTATATGCGTTAATAATTAAGCATTTCTGACAAGCCGTCATAAATACTATTTATACTAACATTGACAAATCGTCGGAAAAAATATTTGTAACGAGAATTTGAGGCCGATAATGTTTTTTGATACGTTGTACACACATTTGCGAGGTTGTTAGGGCGTCAATAATTTATTATTCTCGACGATTTAGTCAGAAATATTATTTTTACTGATGCTACCAAACCTTCGTTAGAACTATTTTTTCCAACGCGTCGTCGAAAAAATTACATTTGCCGACGACAACTATTTATTGTAAACAATAAGCTTTTTCATTTAATATTAGAATTAGAGGGTTTTATTTTCATTTAAATCGCGAAATGCACAACAACAATAATATTAGAGTACAAGAACAATACTCCTATCAGTACAAGAGTACAAATTATTATTAATCTTCATATTTGCATTAACAAAACTACCAATACATTCACAAACATTGATTTATAAACAAAAGACAATAATACTCTTATCAGTTCCACGCAACCCGACTCCAGAAAGGGTAGATCTATTAACAAAAAAAACCCAAATCTACTGAAATCGGCTCCCTATCGATGCCGAAGCAAATTCAATGAAAGGTTGTTGTCTATGTTCTTCTGCCATCGTCGCCTTCACTGCTGCCTGCTGGCAAAACTTGGAACCGATAGCGCCGATCTACTATTACCTCCTCTTCGTCCGAAACCAACAAAAATAAAAAAATAATTAAAAACCATATAAAGTAAAAGGACTAAATACATGCAAATCTCAAACAAAACTTATCAGAGGGTCCTCGCCAGAGCTATTTTTCTGCCGTCGGCGGCGGCATCGTTGCCAAGTGAGCTCTAATGTCGATGCATTTGGCCGCCGGTAAGGTCTAGAATCACTGGTCTTCCCCTTTTCTTCTCCCTCGATGAAATCAAAACCGACAAGCCTACAAATCCAAATCGAAATAAAATCACAAACCAAATCGAAAGCAAATCCCTCGATGAAATTGTTACGTTGCCCGGATGCCGCCTTCTCCATCGTCGCGGTTGAAGTTTCTAACTTAGGACTAGAAAATCGAGGTCGAGGGTTGAAGGGAGGCTCGAATAGGTGTTTCCCTTTTCATTGGCCTTCACAGAACATGAACGACGAGAGGAAATGAAGGGCGTGGTGAAGCAGATCGAGATGGAAGAGAGACGAAGGAAAAGGGATTACTTTATTCCTTTGGTCCGATTTCCAGAAAGAATAGAAGGAAGAATGGGTGGATTGAGGCGGCTAGGTTTTAGATAGATTAGGTTTTCATTTTGTTGATTTCAAGGGCTTATATACTCGATCCTTAACTTTGTCCAACACACCCTTGGACTGTTGAGATTCGTTGGAGATTCTAGAATTACAATTATGGGTGACCTGTAATGTGCATAGAGGGGGTCAAATTATTTAATTTGTTTTTAGTTTATTGGAATCAAAACTAGCCACAGTGAGAGAAGGATACTTGACGTTTGATCTTCCTTTCACAAACCACCTATTTTAATTTTTTTACTTTATTTTGTTTTGGCAAAGGGAAGGGGTTTTATTAATTTAATCGGCCGGAGAGGAATGAAGATAATTATTTCATAAGTTATCAGTTATTCCGGGTGTAGTACGTGCGATTAGTCTACAGGATGACATGAGAACTTGGACACTCCTTTGTCGAATGCAGCCACTTCTTATATTCTACAAAACTGTGATGAGATGCAACATTAAATAAGTACATCACAATTTCGTCCATTTATGTTAGAATTTTTTTTGGGTATTTTAAGTTGAAGTAATTTCGTACATTAATTAATAATATCTGTTTTAATATGTATACTATAGGATTCACAAGGAACACTAAGCACCCGTAGTGCTCGTATGGTTGAACAAGTGCATAAGGAAGAATTTCCTAATTAGTTCTTATCAGAGGTACTTAATTACCGTATTAATTAACTACCAACAAGTTTGATATATAAATTTGTAAAATAGCTTTCTAATTTATTCTTCTCTTTACAATGAAGATTACAAGAATACACAAGGAATAGCTCCGAGTTTGAATCCTTCTCTGTTACATTTAGCTTGAGCACTAGACTGATTCTCTATTTCACACTAGAGAACCGTGGTGTCTTAGTGAGAGGGGAGAATCGTTAGCCGCCCGTGACTTATTTCCGAAGGTCATATCGGACACACTGATTGAGCTTAGCAAATTTTTCAAGGACATATGTTCCAAGGAGCTAAACGTGGAAGATTTGAATTACTTGGAGTCTCAAATTGCCATAATCCTATGTTTGAAGCAGTGCATAAGCAAGAATTTGCTTAGTAGTTCTTATTAGAGGTACATACATGTCATATATAATAAATAATTTTCATATTTAAAGATTATCGCAAGCTAATTTTAAGTTTATCCTTGCAATTATTTGCAGATTACACGAATGCACAATGATAAAGTGCCAAGTTTGAATCCTTCTTTGTTATCCTTAGCTCGAGAGCCAGACAAACGAGTCCTGCACTACTCATGATATTGTATCAATGTATTCAGATTTCACAATCGTACTCGCGAGTTAACCAAAAGCAGTCAAAACAGTGGTGTGATGGTGAGAGGGGAGAACGATGGTGGAATTCATTACTATTGCGTTCTCACCGATATCATCGAGCTTCGTTATATGAAAGGGCTTCGTGTTGTATTATTTCAGTGTAAGTGGTATGACACCGCTCGCTAAGGCGTTGGTTACAGGAAAGATGGACATGGCATTATTACCATCAACACAACGCGAAGGCTTAGAACAGATGAGCCATTTGTTCTGGCTAGTCAAGTTTATTATGTGCAATCTTTAAGAGATCCAAATTGGGAAAATTGTATTTGAAACGCGACCAAGAAATTTGTTCGCGATGCCATCTAATACGGAAGGAGAAGGAGAAAGGAGAAGGAGCATTAGACGAAGCCTATCAAGAAAATAATATTTTAATTGATGATCCTAGGGTACTCCAAACCGAGGGAGATGATATCTTAAACTGGACTAGAGCAGGGTTCAAAGATTAAGTATGACTAATTTGGTCTTTGTAGATCGAAATATATATTATATAATTTCCATTATATTTTTCATAGAGCAGTGCTTACTATGTGTTTTTTTATATATTGATTCAATAATCATTTCTAAAACATGTCATTCTTGTGCATGGCGTACAAAATGTATTTGTGCTTACCATTTACTACTGACCACATTTTATGGCATAAAAATGTTATTTTTTCTTGACCAAACTGTGGTCACGAAATTTTTCCTGACCAAATAGTACTGACGAAATGCTTATTGCGTAAAAAATGTGTTTTACGATTTCAGAAAAGTGGTTTTCCTGAACAAATAGTATTGGCGAAAGTGTACTGTTGTCAAAAACGAATTTTTTCCTGACCAATTAGTATTGACGAACTTTTATGATATTAGAAAATGTGTTTTACTGACCAAAATTATTGACGTAATTTTTATAGTATCAGAAAAGTTGTTTTTCTGACCAAATGTTATTGATGAAATTTTAATGTTGTCAAAAAAGAATTTTTTCTATCCAAATAGTACCGACGAAGTGTTTACGGCGTAACAATTAGGGTTTTTCTGACCAATTAGTATTGATGAACTTTTGGTGTTGTAAAAAAAAACATTTTCTGAACAATTACTTATGACGAAAAATTCATTCTGTCAAAATTTAAAATTTAATTTCGACGATCGGTATTTTGATGTCAATAATAATTATATTTTATGACGACATATTTTTGTTGGTTAGTAATAATGATTATTTCTAACGCGTAATATGAAGTCGTCAAAAATAATCCGCGTGAAAAATGGAAAGTGGGGCAAAAAAACATTTTACTGACGAAAAATACTATTTTTGACAAAAAACCACATCTGTCAGTAATAATTTCATTATTACAGACGAAACTTGTTTTTCGTCGGAATTATTAATTTTTTTTACGCATATTTTTAGTCGTCAGTAAGATTGTCACAACTGCCTGCCTTTTTTGTAGTGATTATTCAGAATTGCATGAGTCCTTATCAAATTCATGTGATTTTTGCTTTAACCTAGAACGATAGTCTCGACGTAGATTAAAAGAACAACCTTAATTAGAAGTAGTGAACCTACTACTTTAGTCTGGAAGTCGATTCACTACTTTGTAATGGAATTGAAAACTAGTTAGGAAGTTTTGTGTCATAGTACCTCGGTTAGCTTACTCCGGTGGAGGTTAGTAGCCCTCCAGGTATTCAAACTGCGAGGGTTCGGAATGGTTTAGTCGAGATTCTAGACTTGTCAAGAACTTTCCTCGGTGTATTTGTCAATTGAAATGAACTTGGAGGATTACAATCTGTTTAACTATACACTAGAGGGACACATAACTGGGTGACCTTTCTCATACTTGAAACCATAACGTCTACTTGCTTTCCTTTCCTTTACGTGCAATCAACTTCACTTGAATTTCATTACTAGATAATAGAATTGCACGGAGTAACCGATAGATCTAGGATCGGGTTGACATTTAGAACCTGAAAAACTATACTGCATTGCTAGACAGTGATAACACTTGGTCGTAGTTTAGTTGTGTGGGTTTTAGGGAGTCAAATTTTTGGTGTCGTTGCAGGGGACAGCTAGGTTATTAAAGAAACGTGATTTTCTGCATTCTCTCTCTTCCACCTGCTTGCCTTCACGGGTTGTATGTTCATTGTGTGTACAGTTAGTGCATGAATCGTAGCTAGTCGAGGGATCTATTGCCTCTAGACCACGAACTTGAACGGACCTGTTGCCAGTTTAAGAAAGAACACCAAGCGCGACTTGCTGTGAAAGAGGCTTTGGCTCAGTTGAATATCATAGAGATTGCTATAGGAGCAGAGATGGGTGACCTCAATAATTGAGCGGGGGATGTGCAAGACCAACCACAGCTAGAGGAATGAACTATGGGGTACTACCTGACCCCTAGGGTTGAGGATCTAAGGTATAGCATCCAACACCCTCAAGTTGATGATAATAACTTTGAGGTTAAGACTTCTGTCATCCAGAAGCTAAAGGGCTCGGTGGTCTTCCGTGGATTGCTCAATGAATGTCCATAAGCACACCTCAATATATTCCACGAGCTGATCTATGGAATTAAAATCAACGGCTTGCCTCCGGAAGCAATCCCGCTACGCTATTTCCCATTTTCTTTGGAGGGGAAGGCCAAGGAGTGGTTAGAGAATCATGCACTAGGTTCGATCACATCATGGAGAGATCTGGTGAACAAGTTCCTGTACCGCTACCATCCCCATTAAAGACTTCGGATCTACAGAAGGAGATCACTCATTTTGCACAAGAGGAGGATGAGACTCTCCGAGATGCCCGACAAAGATACTTAGGTCTCTTCTTAAGGTGCCCTAATCACGGGTTCACTAATGCCTTTATGGCGGACACCTTCTACCAAGATCTCTTTCCCGAGGGCCAACAACTAATTGATTTGGTCTGCAACAAGAACATGATTACCAAGACCCCCCGTAGTTGAATCAGCTCTTCGAGGACATGCCAAAGCAGGGGTATGACTAGGGAGCTACAAAGAGGATTCAGCGAGTTCAAGGTTGAGGTGTTCATGTTGTGGAAGCTCGGTCATCTTCCCTAGAGGCCGCAACTTCTAAGCTGGTTACGGCGGTTGATTGTAATGGACTGGTTATTGGCATAGGTCATTCCCAGGTGATGTACTACCAGTGGTGAGAGAGCACCAATCATATCATGGGGGCTGCCAGGCGATGAGGGAGTCTAACAGACCTCAGGAGCAGTTGGACTTCATTAGCTATGTCAGGGGCATAAAACCTTACAGTAACACCTGCAATGAGGGGTGGTGCCGACATCCAAACTTCTCCTGGGGTGGCAACAACAATCTCAAGCCACCAGGCTTCAAGGCCCCTGCAGGTAGTTATCAAAACTAGAGACAACATTAGCAGCCTCGCTCGGGCCAGTTCTAACAATAGCCACCTTATCAGCCCAGATAGGGCAAACCTTTCCTCAGTAGCACCAGTAGTTTTAGCATCTTAGCACAGGCCCATCAGTTCCAGCATCGGGTGATCTGATGGCTGAGCTTAGAGATATAGTAAGCAAACTTGCTAGTTCCAGCACCTAGAAGTTCAGTAAGATGGACCAGTTCATGGAGCTGGTGGCATGGAAGTTTATAGATCTTGAAGTCGACCAAAGAAACACACAGACTGTTCTACAGGACACCCAAACCCAGCTCTGACGTGTGGCTCAATCTGTGGTACAAAGGGTTCCGAGTACCTT